TGTGTGTGCATGTATGGTGTAATCCAAAAAGTTGGAAAAGAAAAGGGAAATGAGAAATGAGAAAAGAGAAGTGATTTTACTGAGTGTATTCCTTTGAAATAAGCTGTATTTAAATGACTAACCTTTGCAAAGAATGGTGTTGTGATCGTGAGTTAAAGGGAAAAGCATGGGATTTGAAGGGAGGGTTGTGGGTTATTTATTTTATTATTGAACTGTATGTATTGCAAGGCGTGTTTGGGAGGATAGTGTATTAAAAATATAATGGAATTTTTCACTCTCGGTGCAAGAGGAGAAGATAAGACACTGTGAGGATATGGGCTCAGAGATGGTTTAATTGTGCACTGGGAATGCTGACAGTCATCAACACTGCTTTGTGTGTGTGTGTCTGCGTGTGTTTATGGACTGAAAGTGAAGTCACGTTATGTCAATATCACCCGACTATGTGGCACTGCAGGAAGGAGGCAGTATAACACCTCTAGAAGACAAAAACAGTTTACAAGCAAAGTGTTTCCCCACATCAAATATCCAGAGGGAATACTTAGATAACACGGAAAAAGACCAGACAACATGGGCCAATTACTTTCATTTGGTTAAGCAAAGGTTTCTTAACTAGTTCCTATATCAATAATAATTTCAATATTATGCCCCATTCCTGCTATTCAGGCCTGATATCTAAGTGAGGTTGAACTTCTTAACGTTGTCTATCTGGAGTGCCACATTCAGGGCCAAGGCCAGGATTTGAGAAATACTGAGGTCATGAGTCCAAATGAGCCAATGACACCAAAAATTATATTATAATTTGTATTTTATTCTTTTTAATTCTGTTTAGTTATACCATTTTATTTCCCAACATGGTCTAAATGATCTAAACCTCCCCCCTACACTATCAGGAACAACATTTTGATGAGGAAATGGCAAATTATTTATTTATTTAGCCTGCAAGAATTCAAATGTATATTTATTCTAACAAATACTGGAAATAAGCTTAAAGTATTCACCAAATATGTGTTTCACCACCTTTGCTAAAAGCCCCAAATTCCTAAAACAAATATACCAAGGACATGACCTCGGTGTCTTTAATGGTGGCTAAGGCCCTGGCTGCATACACACAGCCCACTGGGATCCTGCCTATAGAGTTAGAATAAACAGAACTCCCTCACAGGTTCCAGTCTGAACTTTTAGTTATTTTAGTTTTGGCTAAAATGAGAGGAGAACCAGAGAGAGTAACCCATAAGCCATAATTAACGAGGAACCTGGAGCTATCTGTTCTAGTTATTCTATGTCTATGGTTCTGTCTGTCACTGATATTACACTGAGTAGGAGGAAGCTGCCCCATAGTTGCTGAAATGCGATCAGTGTGTTTGCAGAAGAAACAATAAATTAAGAAGATTAAGTTAGATTTTGCAGTATCTGATCGCAAATCTGTTTCCAAGGGCAACTTCATCACAAAGGGTCCTGTTATCAGCCGCAGGCGGCCAGAGTGGGGCCCATTCTTATCTTATGTTATGCTTATTATCATCATTACATAGTGAAACATATTGTGCTTGTTAAAAAAAAGAGAAAGAGAGAGATATGTGTGTTGTTCTTTTTTATTTGTAACTGGCTTTACAAATTATGCTTTAATAAATTATTGGAATTATTGTCCTCTATTTGATGTTGTCTGTGAATTTATTTTGAGGCCTACAAACACTGGTTTCGACTTATTTTTAGTATTGTAGCTACTTAAGTGCACTTTTGTGGTACTTATTTATTTGAGAGCTACGATGGTTACTTTAAATTAAAGGAATAGTTTGAGATTTGGGGAAATAAAAGTAGGTCCATTCCCTTTCTGGTGGAGAGAAGACTGATGTTGTTTAACTGCTAGAATCCCCAAATCTTGAAGTTCTCCTTTAATATTTTATATAAAAATATAATTAGCTTATAAAAATACACATGGATTATCACAAGATAAAAGTGTCTGAGCCCCCTTGTCACAGCTGAGATGTCCAATTGTTAGTAGTTCCACTAAAGAGTAAATTCCCCTCTAAACTTCTCAGATTATTTCATTTCAATTACTGTTTGAGGCTCCACATATCCAAAATGTCACAAATTAAAGAGCAAAGACCCCAAATTGAAGTAACATTTTGAATGAATTGAATTTACTTCATGGAGTAATTTTATGTTGCTGTTAAATAAGGAATCTGAGTTATTCTTGAACCACTGTCTACAAGAAGAAAGAAACTCACACAGACGCAAACACACGCCTTCCTCTCCTTTGTCTTCAGTGCGTAATGAGTGTGCGTCAGGATCCAGCGTTTGGTTCCTTCTCGGCACTTACGGAGTTTCAGCAGTCGACCAGAACAGCCAAAACATTTCCTCTTTTCGCGCTCTCAGGTTAGAGACGGAAGAAGTTTTGAGAATTAAACAGCTGGAACAATCTTCTGAGTGGTTGGATGATGGATTCACGGATTTTTCTCCCTGCTCTCCTGCTCGTCCTCGGTTTGGCGACAGTTTTCGCCCAGACTTCCGCACCTGGCCAAGGTAGGAGAAGTGAGCGACTGTGTAGTGACTGAGGAATATTAATGGCTGCTAAAAAGAATCTTTCCCTTTCATTTAGTCACTTTCAGCTGCGCCATTAGTTTTCCATTAGGTCCTAGGTAAAATGTAAACGACAGAAAATCCTGACTTGGTTTATTGAGACTTTTGTTGACTTTGAAATACTTACTTTTCTCTGTTTAGGACAGTATTGTCTTTCCTCTCGTGTGTTAACAATTGCAAGATTTATTGGAAGAGAACAGGACATAAAGCAACATAAACACTTTATTTGAGGTGTGTTTGGTCTTGGAATTACACTTCTATTATTTCTATTTTCAGTTTTAAGTTTATTTATCCTAAAATAATAAGAAACAAAATAAGAAAATCTTAGGTAAAGGCTACTTTTCATCTTATGAACTACACATAAAAGCAAGATTATCAGTGATTGTGTTAATATCATTGTGCCTCTGTTAGTTTAACATCTTTGGGTATTGAAACCTTTCAGCAGGAACAAGTCTCTTTTCAGGTCTCACATCCCCCTCCTGAACTGTTTCAGGGTGAAGCAACCAGCAGCAGTACAGTAGCCACAAACAAACCCACCAAACAAGAATGAGACCTTTTGTTTGTTTACACCTCAATTTTTAGATATTCATGGCTACACTTACACAAGCCCGGCTGTTGTCTTGTGTAGTCTGCTGACAATAATATGACTGGTCTGTGGGTTAACTGTGCCGTGTCTCCATGGAAAAATGTCCCAGGAGGATTAGCGGTGGTAACAAAAACCACCGGGAGCACACACCTTACGGGCCTCCATTTAATCTGCTTCTCAAAGTGTTTTCAGCTAATCTCACCAATATTAGAGTCAGCTGTACTGTGTGAGGCAACATTGTTTGTACCTTCGGACATCCTGTTCACTGAGTTTACTCCCATATGTGAACTATTTTGGCTGAAAAACTAATCACACTGACTTTTTCCCCCCGTAGCTTGTGAGACGAAGAATGGGACAACCTGTGACGAATGTCTGAAAAATGTGTCGGTAAGTGCTGAGAGAAAACAATTTGTTTCTGCTGGGTTGATTTCAATCTTGGTTTACTGGTGTGTGTTTGGGCCTTATGTAAAAAAGTGTCCTATAGGTGAAGGAACCATTGCCAGTGACTCCTCCTCTACCTGCACACCTGTTAGACTGGTTTAAGGAGTAACTGATCTGTCTTTGATTCCCCCCCTCCATTTTCTGCTTTTTGTTTGTGTGTATTCAACAGTGTATCCTACCCTGAATATCTCAGGATTCAATGTTTGTTCAGATAATAAAGAGGTCATTATGTGTTTTGGTGTTTTTCACAGTGCTTGTGGTGTATCAAAACGAAGTTGTGTATAACCTATCCAGTGAGGACCATCCTTCCACCGCATTCACTCTGCCCACTGAACGATGCACGCTGGGGGCTCTGCTGGAGTAAGAGAGTACACACACACACACACACACAAACATGAAAAAAAGGAAAAAAATATTATTATAAGAGATATATGTTCACCAAAACACACACACTCACATAAGCTTATATCCAAACACATTTCTATCTACATAAACTCACATACATATGAATTAAATGTAAACAAAAGCTTTCCTAAAAACTCAAGGCAAGATAAACCAAATTAAATTGAATACAAATAAAATGATCAATAAAGTACTTTGACTTTTGATGTCGGTTTAACTTTTAATATTTCCTTTTACTTAAACACCATAAAAACAATGAAATGTGTAATTTTAATTACATAGTTTTTTATTAATACTGATACTGATACAAATAAATACTATTTAAATCAATTACATCACATCTACATCACAGAGGGTGAGGTATTTGACCTGTCGCTCTCTTTGATCTTTTTACTAACTTTTCATTTGTTGAATGTAGGAAAAAATTTCAGAATGAAAATGAAAATGTTACCTTATTTCTAAACATTTTTTTGTTATATTATTAAATAAAAAAAATAAAATATATATATATCTATATACATTTATCGGTGTCCCCTTAGTTCCTGTCAACCATTACCCTCACCAAATAACCCTTGCAAAATAATGGTACACTGCACATGTGACAGGAAGCTACAGTTATAAGCTTCATAACTCATATCCAACAGCTCAATGACAGTTTTATGTTTTATAAGATGTGTACAAGGGGGGCAAGCATGCAAGGTCAACACTGTTACCATGTAACAACAACCATAACATTTAGGAAAAAAAACAGTCGTGAAATATTATGGCACAATGCAGTTTCTTGTCACTTCAAGCCATCTTTTGTCCAAAGCAATGCAAAAAGTGATGATTCAAGTTCAACTTAATTTAAAAATTGAAAAGGGGTATATTTCATGTACTGTCCCACGTTTATATTTCACCACTGACAATAAACATTGGACTGACATCGTAGAACAAATATATATCTTTTCTAATTTGAATGTAGATCTGTTACTGTGGATTTGTACATAACTTTGTCATTGTGTTTCTCCATCTGTAGTGAACTTCCAGATTTTGATAATCACCTTGGCAGTGGTTGGTGGCATTATCATCATTGCCTTCCTGGTCTGCCTGTTCTGCTGCTGCAAGTGTGAGAACTTTGGGTAAGTGTGCAGTTGACCTCTGTGACTCAATAACAGCCAACGAAACATTGTCACTCTTGCTCAACACGGACACGGAATCTTCTCTGATACAGAAACTGTAATATAAACAATTAGAAAAGGAGAATTTTCCACATAGAAAGCCATTTGCTACTGTTGTACTTATATATTGAACTTTAAGTATTGGAAAAAGCTCAGACATTACTTTTTAGCTATAGCTAAAGGACTATTTACTGTAACCTATCAGTTACATTTTCTATCTTCTTTTCATTAGACATGAACAAAATGATAATATACACACTTACTATAACAATAACAAAAACTGTTATTATTCCAAAATCGCACATTTCATGAGAGGTAGAAATGTGTCTACGGTGAATGTTTTAACTACTTAAATGTATTTCAGTTTTTGTGGTTAATCTGCTTCCTGGGTTTTGCACGTTAAACCTCAGTCCCGTCTCTCCCACTCCACCCATTTCACTTATGTTTCTATAAATAACTCTGAGATATGCATGCCTGTACAGAACATCACATGTGTATGCAGCAGGGTGCCCTTAGTGGATTGGGAAGTTGTCATGTTTTGTTACAGAGAGTTATGTTAAGTTATACGTCTAAAAATACTTATTGTTATGTATTAGGTTAGAAACTGTTGGGTTCTGGGACACGCTTATGGTCACAGATGGTTTAAGTATGGGTTTGGTAAGAACTTACTGTAGGATCTCTACCTTTGTCACTCTGTCATTAGACTTAATATTTGTCCTTTTAGTCTGGAGCTACATTCGTTACAAGGTGATGATCAGTGTGTACTGTACTATGTGGGGAGATTTTAGTCTAATCAAGATAATATACTGTACACATACGTACTGTACATTCCTGTCAGCATTGGTGTGGTCACCTTAAGGCGTCACAAGCACACACTGTTTACTCTTCCATGACCTATGTAACCACAACCTAACCTTGGTCTTGTGTTTGTGTGTCAGATCCAAAAGGTTCGAGGCCAAGATGCAGAGACAGGGCAATAAGATGAAAACCAAGCAGGAAGAAAGGTAAGAAATAATGTTCATTTAGTGTGTGAGTGTATATGATACATCTAGGCCATATTCATAGTCAACCAGTAGCTCTCCTCTGCAAAGATATGCTTCAAGAGGAAGTATCCAAGGTGGACTTGAATCTTAATCTGAGCCTGGTTGCAGACATCTGGATCGCTGCCCATGTCTCCATTTTTTTCACTGCAATTCAAATATGGAATAATAAAGTGAAACAAAATAGCACTTCAGTCTGATTTTCAGGCCAAACTCAAACTGGCCAACAATGCACACAATCTGACTGCTCTCTCCACCGCCACTGCCTTTTCCAAGCTCTTCCATTATGGGAGATTTAGAGTTTTATCAATACCAGGGCCACACGGCACACGAACAGTTTCTTACCAGAGGTTTCTGTGTAATGGACAGAAAACTCACACTTCCTCACACATGCTTTCTTTCTTTTTCCTGATGGATGTTTACATTCCTTTATACCTCTAAAAATGTATTTGGTCCAATATAAGGGGCAGCCATCAATAGAGCGGGCCGTCCACTAACTGGAGGCTTGGTGGTTTGATCCCTCAGCTCCCCCTGTCCATGCAGGGTCCAAATTGAACTTTTCTATCTGCCTATGGAAGGTAAACTCAGAAAATGTACCAGGCAAAACTATGTTTTATCTGCCATAAAACTGCAGAATGTTTTTGAGCTTCATATTTTAGCCAGGGTCTCTGGGCTCCTGCATTGTTCAGACGCCACCTCTTACTGTACTCCATGACTTTTCTATTCGTCTTCATGGTTTTTTTGTTTTGTGACCGCAATTTATTTATTTTAATAATTTTTTACCCGACTGAACCCAAACTTTAACGGCACTATATTGGAAGTATCCTCGAGTAAGACATTGAACCCTGAGTTTATAGGATGGGTCAAATGAAGAGGAAAAATATAATTTCCATGTATGCAAAAGCTGAAACGACAACAAAGGCTGAGATGTAGCCCTGATTATTCTTCTATTAATATACACAGCCCTTTCAAACAGTGTGCAATTTTTTCTTATAGCTATGCAGACGGTCATTGTGGGATAGTAGCTGTAAGCTGTAATGACTGGCTCACTATGGTGGACTGCGATTGCTTGATTTAACAATGATTTATAATATTTGTGTATTTTTACCCTCACAGTACATATACAGTAGATGTATTCATATAGAAACATACAGTAAAGACGCATTAATACAATTGCTGAATAACTATAAAGAGATGTCCTCCTTAATAGTCTCAGAGTCTAGGTTTGTCTCATTGTTTAGAGTCTACAGGACACCAGATGCACCAGCTGCCCATGTTGCATTGTTGTTCCTGATCCATATCAGTTTTCTTCATAGCACAACACACATGAAGGAAAAATGCACACGTCAAGCTGGTGGCAACCCAAACTGGTTTTGTGGTCATGTGACTTTTGGGGAGTGTAAAATATTATCAGTCATTGTGTGACTCAGAAGAGAATGTTTTGTCCTTTACAGGAAGGCAGAGATGAAGCAGAGACATGAGGAAATCAGGAGTAAATATGGTGAGCTCTCTCACTTGCTGACACACGTTTCCCATCATTTCTCTCTCTCTTTTTCACACACATGTGCCTGTACAGTACTACATTGTTCAGATATGTTTTTTCTGCTCACTTGAAAGAATGACATAAATTATTTTATTATTAGTATAATGATATTGTCACATAATATTATCTAACATTAACGCTATGTCTTTGTCTTTATCTCTGACACATACACAGTGGCAGTGTCAGAGATTTCCTTTTGTTGGTGCTATGGGATTGCTTGACTTTTCAGTGAGGGTGTGCTGAAATTTAGGGTTTAGAAATTTCCGCTGCAATTTCCCCCGACACACGTAGGCTTACACATACACCTGTGCGCACACATATGCAGCACCCGGAGCTCTGCAACAGTTACAATGTCATTAGAGTTAAATACAAGGCAAGATATTCAACTCAAGGGATGGAAGTAAGGAAATACACCCTGGATTAAAGTTTACACAATTATGCCACGGACAGTGCTTACACACAAGCAGAAAGTGCATATTTCAACTTCACAAACTGAGTTACACACACCCTGACTAATGAATCCCATACCCTACTTAATATGGTCTAATATCTGCTCCATACATCATTGTATGTTTTATGTTTTATTGTTTGTATGTCTGTCTTATGTCTATCTTGTTGCCATTTTTAAAATTTTTATTTTGGGTCACGTTATCCCCCAAAAGCTTTAAAAAAAAAAAGAAGCTAAATGGGCCTCTGGTTTTTTGATGAAAGAACTGCTTAACAACTGCAAAATTAGATTAAGCTATCTTTTTCTGATTTTGACCTTGACAGAGATTGTTAAATAGTTTGACATGTTGGGAAGTGCACTTATTCTATTTCTCGCTGAGAGTTAGATGAGAAAAATTATACTATTGTCTTTACAGTAAGCACAGGGACTGATAGACTTTGACTTTGCTGATTGTTTTATGTTTCTCCAGGTCTAAAGGGGCCAAATCCATACTCCAAATTTGCATGAGAGGATCGGTGACCTGAGATTTACACCACGACCCCCCTGCTTTTCCCTGAACTCTGACCTAACACATCAACAACCTGTCCTGTCGTTGGGACTTGATCTGAGGATTAATGTAAACTATAATCATGATAAATTCAGAAAAGTGACAGTAGTTTTGTACAGGCAGTCTCTGGCTTCATCCAGGCAATGAATAGGAATGATTGTTTTCAATGTGATGACCCTAGAGGCTGAAACTAAAGGCTAGAATATATGTAGCAGCAGTGTTCTTCATCCTGTGGCTCCTGCAGCATCAGTCTGCTTAAGTCTTAAGTGTAATTGTAAAGAATGGAAATAATCTAGTTGCATCTCCATCTGCACCTTTTCAGATTTCTGTTTTGTTCCCCTTAAGTTGCTGCTGATTTGGAGATAAAACAAATTATTACCTATTTTTCTACTTAGTGTGATTTTGTTCTTCAAATTGACTCCTTCCTATTCTGAAATGTACTTGTTGGAGGCCATTTTTGTTGTTGCTGTTGGTTTTTTAGGTTTGGAAAATGTCACAAATACTTTTCAGCGTTGCACTCTGAATTTCTAAAGTAATCATTAAGTTAAGCTGAATGTGTCAGTTTGAAGTCTGCCTAATTCCACATTTGCCTGTATATCCTGTAAAGACACATACACCTATTAAAATAATAGACTGGTGATTAATTCCTTCAGTAACTTTTATTGTTTATTGTTTTGCCTGTATTGTGCTTTTATAAAAGTATTTTCCTTGTAACTTAATGTCTGAGTCATTAAATAGAACTGCTTCAAAACACCTCACCAAAAGTTTTTAGAAGCTGATGGCTGACATCTGCTGTGTGAGGTAAAGAACATCTTTATTTGGTTCACTCTAGATGTTTGGCATATACAGGAATAAAATGATTTGGATTTATCTTACACGATAATAATAATAACAATAATGGGATGATTAATTTGATAAAATATTTGAAATTGTTGAACTGATTTGTATTCTTGTAAAGAAGCAGTTAATATTAGCAAAGGAAATGTGACAAGTGAAAATTGATGACTCTTTATGGTAAATACAAATGACTATATTGCATTCATTTTAGGGTTTCTTAAAGGAATGCCTTGATATGATTATAGACAAATACTAACAGGGATTATGAAGGATTAATAAACTTCAGTATGGTTTAATACAATTTACATAAACATTAAATTTGTTTGGTTTGGGACAAAACTCCACTGCAGTTATTAAAGGTAAATCTGATAAATGTATAAATTAAGTTCCCAAAGACTTTATAATATTCATAGGTATGTTTTCATTAGTGTATAGGAAACGTTGTGTTTTCATTACCTTAGAATGAGTCGTTTTTATCTACAGGTGCTGCGGGTCGCCTTGACTTTACCATGTTGAACCACCATGATTTTACAGTAGCCCAGAATTGACAAACCAAACACTGGCTATAGATAGGACCTTTCACAAGTTTCCCAGTCACTGTAGATCCTCCTAAAACCTTCACAGCCTGTTCTCATTCCCAGGTTTTCAAATACACACGCGAGTGGTGCTCAGTTAGCTGCAATCTGCAACTTCACCGCTAGATGCCACTAAATCTCTACACACTGGTCCTTTAAAGCTTTGAGCCAGAACAACACATTTAGTCTCTTGTATGTACATTTGTACTGTTTGTATTGTCAGTAAAAATCAAGGCACATTGCAAAGTTAGTAATTCTGAATTCAAGCAGTTGTCAAAACTACATGAGCTGAACAAAAACTGAAGGAAATTCACGTTTAAAAATATGCTGATTCGTGCTGATGTTATATTTTTGAAAGCAAATAAGGTAATTTTAGATTGTATTTTTAAATGTATACATATATAAGGAACTCTATTCGCTTACTGACTTACTGACAGTGTTGGCCAGTAACTCATTACTAGTAATAATATTACTTTCCCCCAGTGACTAGTAGTGTAACTAATTACTAATACATTTCAGTAATAATATTACAAATATGTTACCGCCACAAAAAATTATTCGTTACTTTTATTGGCACCTCCTACTGATCTGAAATCCAACAATCCAATCACGTTTGGATTAATTTTTGTAATCCTGGAGGAAATTAGTTTGGAAGATGAAAACGCTTATGATCTAACAGCTGGAAATATTCACATTACTTTCATTTTAACAAACAAAACTGTATTTTAATCATCGAGACCATTTTTTGGGGGAAAAGTAAAATAACTATTAGCGTAATTAATTACTTTTGGTAGGGAGTAATAAGTAATAATTCTACGTTTGAAAAGAGTAATTAGTAATAAGTAATAAATTACTTTTTTTGAGTAACTAGCCCAACTGACATACTGATTTGATTTAATGTCCAGCCTTAATTATTATATTATTATAATATATACATAGTTGTATAATTTGTACGAGTATTCAGAGGTTTAATACTCTATTACCTTCATACAACTTCGCGTGATCGAGTATTCTGAGTAGGTGCGCGCTCCCGTGTCCGCGCCCCCGCGGTTTAGCAGTCACGTGGTCCTGCCGGAGCCAATCGTTTATTTGTAACAGCGGTCCAAAGCGCGCACCCGTCAGCGGAGGAGAAGAGAGGACAGAAGGCGGCAGAAAGGCAAATAAAGCCCAATTAACAGATTATTCTGAAACCTCGCACACAAAAAACACAGCCAGGATGTCAGAGGAAAAGCCAAAGGTAAGACACAAAGGGTTAAAGAGCTGTGGGTTCTGTAGCGACGGCTCGGTCGAGCTCCTGCCAAACCATTTCTAAGATGTGCAATCAAAAATGGCCTGGTTTGCACGTTTCTGTGAATCGGCGCAGTGTTTGTTTCGCAAATGAATGAGTGCCCACACATCCGTAATTACATTTATACGCGCTTGAACGACACACTGTGTGTCTAAACCGGAGACATTATCACCCTATCAACGAGGGTCTCGAAGACTGTGGGCAGAAACGTTAATTACACCATGATTGTCATTTGCGGATTTTTTTTTTTCTTTGTCGAAACGGGACCACGTTTATGTCCGCAACGCCGCAAAACGCCGCAACTGCAGCAGCGACAAAAGAGCGCAAATGGAGGTGACGCAGTCTTTATAAAAACTAATGTTTCCGTGCTGTTGTCGCTACTTTTTAATGTGTCGCTGCTTGTGTTTTTAGGGGAGGAGAGGGGGCACAGCAACGTTGCAACAAAACAAAATTGTTAGCATCGTTAGCCCCGGAGCTAATCGTGCTAACGTTAGCATATGGGACTGCCCGGCTAGCACCATACTGTAACCTGCCTGTATTAGTCTGATTTAATGTAGGTTTATATTCAGTTTAAATATGTGTACAACATGGTGTAGTCTTATTCCTTCACCACACTTGGTTACATTTCTTTTAAAGGTGCATGCTTTGTAACAGTCTGGTAACTTACCTAGCTGCCAGCAGTAGTTTTTATCTGTAGTGCCTCTGTGTAAGCTCTCCAGTGTAATGTCAGTGCTTTCTCTATTCCCTTTTGGTAACCTGCTGGTTTACTTGATGTTAAACACGTTTGTTTCTGCAGGAGGGAGTAAAGACTGAGAATGATCACATCAACCTCAAGGTTGCGGGGCAAGATGGGTCGGTGGTCCAGTTCAAAATCAAAAGACACACACCCCTCAGCAAACTAATGAAGGCATACTGTGAACGACAGGTGAGCTCAAAGCCCAAATGACTGTTTTTTAGATTTCCTCCTCTCCACAAACATACAATTATTTTGGATTAGCTGGAATACCTCATTCAGCCTCCCTCCTCCCTTAGTTGCACACTTCTCCTTTCTCCCACCATTCCTGTACTAAAAGTCCTTTTACACATGGATTCATCTTCATGTGTTGCTTCTGCAGGGCCTTGCAATAAGGCAGATCAGGTTCAGGTTTGATGGCCAGCCGATCAATGAGACGGATACACCTGCACAGGTAAGAAGCTCTTTTTGAACATTATATTGTCTTTAAACCTTACTGAAAGGATCCGTCCACAGTATTCAGTTTTATTAAAGACTGACTGCACAATTCAGGCATTCAGTGTCTCTGTACAGTCTTTTAAATTATTTTACCTGTTCATTTATTGTTTATATCCGCTAACTGAAACCTCTTTCGCTCTGTTCCCCTCAGCTGGAGATGGAAGATGAAGACACCATAGATGTATTCCAGCAGCAGACAGGCGGGCACTGCTAAGCCCTTCCCACCTCATTGATGGCCACCCTCAGACCACGCCCTCAGCCACCTTCACTGTCCCCCCCCTCCCCATCACCCCTCTCAGCCTATTATTATTATTATTATTATTATTATTATTATTACTTAAGTTTAAAGATGTCTATCATGGTTTCTGGTCAGGTGTGTGTGTGGGGAGGCTCCTCAGCTGTTTATATACTGTCTCAGCCAGGACTGAACTTTTTGTGCGCGTCAACAGTCTCTGCTGGCCAATCAGGACAACATTTCTCTCCGGCACCGCAGGCTGTGATTGGACCAACAGTGCGTCAAGGCTGTTCCTCGTTTGTCAGTGCTTCTCATTCACTCTCCAGTGAAAGCTTAGTATCCAGTAGTTTGTCACGGTTTTCGTCCGTCATGGTTGAATGCGAGGCTCTGCAAGATTTTGTCCAGGGGTCACAGTCAGTGGGCATGAAAATGTTTTGAAGTGGAAGCACGATCTGAACTTAATACACACCCACCTTCCATTTCACTTCACTTTCTTGTGTGTTGTTTTTTTTTTCTTCTTTTTTTTCTGAACAGTGACTCCTGCTCTTCTGTCATCAAGGTATTTTAATTCTCTGCATTTTAGGTGCTTTTGCTAAAGCGTTCTGCAATGTTTTTTGTATTTTTGATTTTTTTTCTTTTAAGAATTAACACCCAGGGGGCTTGTTGATTTTTCTGTACAGAAGTTTCAGAGTTGATGTTAGATAAATGTTGTGGGACTTGGACCAATACTCCAAAGACCGAACTTCTGTCTACTCTAAAAGGTCAAAACTGTCACATTTTAAGGGAGTTTGTATATCATTAATGTTATTTGCTTCCTCTATGACTTCTACTAATTGAGAGAGGTTCTTTGTGAGTATCCGGTACAGACTACTATTCACTTATGTGGGAAAAATGGCTGTTCATGGGAGGGACATTTAATTTACACCACTGAGGTGCATCCCATTGTTAGAATTGGTTTGGGTCTGGCTAGGATAGTCTCTTGACATTGAATACATAACTTTTGGTTTTCTTTCCGTATTTTCCAATGAAGCGGGCCAGTAGCCAGTCCCTATGGTATTCTTACAAGTGGCTGTGCTTTTAAGTTTTACATGGATGGGGGGGTGAAAGTGGAGCTTGGGTTATGGGTGGGAATAACTGGAAGCTCGTTCCTCAGCTCTGTTTGGGGTCAGCTGTCTCATCTCTGTATTGTGCTTGCGAATGTAGGCTGACGGGACAACTAATTCTAGATGTGTTTTGAAGAGGATCAGCTTCCAGTTTAAGCAAGGATATCCAACAAAAGTCAGTATCTTTTTTTGTTAACACATTTTGAAGACACTTTTCACTGCTTTGTCAACTGTCGAGCTGTTTCCTTGTGTATAAAAGACAGAAGTTGCAGGCCATTTGTTTAAAAACCTGACCGCATTATTGCAAACAGTGAAGATATACCCCAAGTGGTGATGAGTGTCTCGGATTATTTACAGTTTTTCGGAGAAGGATGCATGCAGTTTGTTGCATACCGGGAGGGCAGGGAGGCCAACCAATGGAGTTTGGGAGATAAGTGTTCTGTACCCACAGGGCCCCGTTCTTCGTATGCAGATAGCCGAATTGGCTTGATTTATTTTTTTTTTTTTTGATTGTTTGCTACCTGACGCGAGCTTGTATTTATCAGTTCAGTCAGGATTAAAATGTATCAAAGCAAGTTGTCCTTGTGCTCAAAACATGCAAAAGTACAAGCTTATTCAGAGCAAGTTGGATCACGGCAACCCTTTTCAAGTTTCGGTCAGTATTGTCATAACTGAACAGGTTTTGAGTAGTCATAGAGATTAATTACAACAAAATATAACCAGTCGCAGTATGAACCACTGCTATTTAGACATTTGCAATACAGATTCAGTTCTTGCATTACGAGGTATTTAAAATGATGCAATATGGGCTGCAGTTGTAATTGGCCTTTTTTAGTCTCCCTTAATGTTTAAGATATGTTCCCATAGCCTTAAATGTAGCTCTATTCAGCCACATTAGAAGAGGCAATGTCCTTTTTAAATAGTAAATAAATTGTGGTCTACGTCATGTTGTTCAGCTGTATTTTTGTATCATTCTATGTAATAAACACAGTCAATGTCAAAACCTTTTTTCATTTCTAAAGAATATTTGACAAATGTTTTAAAAAGCTTCACTGTACTGCCACTTGCTGTGTGAAATAATCACTACTGTCCACTCACACCCCAATGAATAGAATATTAAATTTTATCTGAGGACTACTCAATTCTCATCTTTTCTGCAGTCATTAACAAGCATTTGACAAAATTGTGTACAGAAACATGCTAAATCAGTGTTGATTACTCTTCAAGGGTGCACAAGCCAATCACACAGTGATCTTCAGTTCAGCTTTCTGGTCTGACAAAATAAGAGCACAGTTATTAAGACAGCCTTCCACTTGCATTTGAAGAACTGAGTTAGCTGGACAGTTTTTGAGCGGCTGACGTACGAGCCAAGCTAATGTACGAAGAACGGGGCACAGGTCTTGTCATGTTATTTGTTTCTCTACTGTACATTATTTGTGGTCTTTTACTACTGTATACAATAAATATAGTTTGGTACTCAGATTTGCTGTCCCATGCATGCATTACTTTGTACGGGTGTATTCAAAATGGCTAAACTACTGAAATGCTTATTTTAATGCTTTACAATTATCCCTGTATGATTTTTATTTTATTTTTTACTGCTTTTCAGGATGTGGTAGAATAGGACAAATACATAGCACCAACTAATGCAGCATAAATTTTAGTTTTAACTAAATTACAGTGCCTCTCTGTGTATTTTAATTACAACACAATACATAGGTCTTGTATTACTAAGAGGCCATTACAAATTTATCAGGTAGAGATTACAAGCCTTTCTTTAATTGAATCTCATTGCTGCCTGGTGCACTGCAGTTTACTTGTCAGAACATAACTGTCATTGAATTATATATAGTTACGTGAGGTTTATTATATAAGACAGGGTTTCAGTTCCCACTGGCTGCTAAAAATGTGTGCACAAGTACTATGGATGGAAGCACCACACATGGCTTCAGGGAAGTAGACTGCTAGGTGGTGCCAGTGAACCATGAGAATCTCACATGTCTGTTTTTTTTTTTCTTCTGTCGTAAAACAACCATGTCCACATATTCATCAAAAAGCAAACAGGAAAGAAAAACCCAAAACACAGATATTGAATACAATATAATACAGGGACATGCAGCAACACAATATGAAACAAAAGAAACTATAAAAAGCTGTAAAACAAAATAAACATGCATAAAATTGAAGCATGGCACTGGATAAAAAAACATAAAAAATTAAAATGTATTTCCACAGCTGTCCTGAAACGGAAACGTACTTCAGATGTCACTTAGATAGACAAATGATAATTAAATTCAGTGAAGCAGGTAAAAAAAAAAAGATGTTGATATACTAAACCAAGTCTGATAAATAGTGTACTCACTTCCAGGGTGTCACCTGGTGCCTGATTTAGAGCCTTAGATTGCATCTGATACACTGACTGAATGGTTACATTCAGAATGAGTGGAACAGTGATAAGAGTAATAGCAGCAGGTGATGAGTCAAACCAGGAATAAGGAAAAGCATGCGCATGAGAGGATAATCTACATCAACTTTTCAGCATCCAAACGGATCACTCTGAAACCACACAGGAGAGTGCAACACCCACCCCATGCCAAGCCTGGAAGGAAGAAAGATTAATGAATGGATAGAGGAAAAGAGGGGCAACGCAGAGTTTATATCTTATATCCTGATCTTTGTGTAGTCTATGATCTTAACGTGGGCGAGAAGAAGAGAGACAAAGTGCATTTGCCTTGTAAATGTGCTGGTCGGTGGATGAGAGGATTCAGAGAGATCTGACACAAGCCGAGATACAGACGTCGGAAATTTGCCTAGTAACCAACAAACCAGGGTCAAACAGACTTTGTAAACTGATTCTATGAAGTTATTTGAAGTGGTATTACTTTGTTGGGTGACCATGGATAATCAAAATGCCTCTTGAGACTGCTAGGAAAGTATTTAAAAGTAAAATTCCTGTGATTTACCCAATTCAAACAGGTTAAAATAAATCCAGTTAAAGTATGCTTTGACCCAGGCCCTCTTAGTACTTTGCATTGCAGTGTTTTCCTAATTTCCCCGACCTGAGACTTCATTAGACTTTCAACAAGTAATAATCCTGGTTTGAGACTTTAATATCACAGCTGTGTTCATGCACATACCTCGGTTTCTCAGGTAATAAACTATGGGATAACAGCTAATATGATAATACCTCAGCTCATATCCATCTATTCATTAGTGGGACAAAGGTCACATACGCGCTGTGAAAAAAAACGTTGTTTTTATGTTGCATTTTAATTAAAAAGAGACATTTTGTCTGCCAATGCCCCTTTTTCATGTTGTGAATGTCTGGAGGAATTCAACAGATCTATATCAATACATTAAAATATTCTGTCTGCTGTCAGTCTGTGTATAATGTGAGCCTACACACACACACACACACACACACAGAGTTCTCACCCCTCTGGCAGGTCTGTGTCATCAGAGGCGGTTGAGGGAGGATGAGTGACAGACTGGTTAGTGATTTGCATGGCTGTGGTGTTTAAAAGGAGCTGCAGGTGCAGGATTCTCCACACAGCTGAATGGATTTCTCTCTAAGCACAGATGCTCTGGGACCTTTTACTTCTACTATTTATTTACATGAGAATCATAGGTAGCCAGGATAGCTTTGATGATTTTTTAGCAGAGTTTGTTGACTAGAAGTCTTTCTTTGGAGGATCTGAAAATGCTCACTTGTGTCAATATGGGGAATGCACAGCCGTCTGGTGTGTATTGTCACTTAAGATAGAGACAAAGGGAGCAGCACATAGAGAAATACCTACAATATGGAGACATTCATGCCCACTGGCAAGTAAACCAAACGTACTTTTTGTAATGTCATCGCTGATATTTGTGCAGTTCCTTCTGCTGGGGTTAAGGGTCATTGATACCACCACAGACACATGGAGACACTGTACAGGTACTGTACCATTTTATTCTGTTTTATCTCTCTTAACCTCAGCTTTACTGTCTATCAGCTTGGCTCACTTTAACACTTCTGATGTACAGTTAATGATTATTCAGTGAATGGTTTACGGTTTCATCTAAAAACCTGGGAAACCCCTCCAGCTAAAATTCTTTTGGATAATTCCAACTGCCTGCGTTTGCTTACAGTACAGTGGGAGTGTTGCTGTGTGCAGTATTGCGTGCAATAATAACTTAAATTCACATCACAAACGAGTACAGACATTGGATGTGGTTAGGATTCCACAACAATTCTATACACATCAAAATATTAGGATGAACAGGGTGCATATTTATATGATGTCTCATCAATTTAGGTGCAATTCTCTTTCATTATTCTCGCTTTGCATAGAGCTTCTTTCCTAATAACAACCCCTCCTAAAACCTCCTATAGTTTCACCACCACCCAGGGCTATTTCTCACACACCATGGGGGTCAGGGACTCAAGGATGCTTTGACATTAATTGATTTATGAGTTTATAGCAGTTCCCAACCTTTTTAACACACTGTCCTTTAAATCAAAGATGTGGCTATTTGTGACCCCTTGGTTTCATAAATGAACCTGATAGCAGTGGTGGAATAAGTGTTCAGATCATTTACTCAAGTATTCTATTTAAAGTAAAGGTCCTATATTGAAAATATTAATTTTATTAAAGAAAATGTACTTAAGTATTAAAAGTAAAAGTAGTTAATACAGAAAAATGTCCACTGCAACTGTTATATTATTATATATTCAATAATAGGATTATTAATACTGTTGCATTAATGTCTAAGCAGCATTTTACTGGTGGAGCTTTTTTTCTACTATTTCATATGGACTGCAACTAATGATTAATCTGCTGGCTATTTTCTCAATCAATCAATTTATTGTTTGTTTAAAAAATGAATTAAAATTATTATAAGAATTACAACGAAAAGCTGCAAATTGTCGCAAGCTGGAACCATGAAATGTTTTGCATTCAATTTAGTTTCTGTCAATTGACTAATAATTTAATCTCTACTTGTATATACTGTTGGGTAGCTTTATTTAAAACAAAGCATCATATTTTATCATCTTTTCTTATGTTTTGTGTGCAAAAATCTTAATGTGTAAAGTGCAACATTTCCTATTTAAAACTGTAAAGTAGCCTGAAAACAAAATACTCAAATAAAGTACCTCAAAATTGTACTGCAGTACAGTATTTTTTTCCCTTTTACAGTTTATTTTGAATCATCTTTAGAAACCTGTAAAAAGTTGATATAATTCGGGTAGCAGATAATGTGCTATTCCATCAATCATCTAAGGGGCCCTCAGATCTATTTTGCGACCTCTTTAGGGGGTCCCGACCCCGAGGATGGGAACAACTGGTTTATAGTATAGCCATTTCTGCATAAAATTACTTAAACAGTAAAACAAGCTTCCTGGTCTCTTTATTTGCTTTTTGTCTGCAGATTTGCTCCCTCTGGATCTTCTGTCCTTTGTCCTCGAGAGGGACACCTCCAAACTTGTACCAGGGGTCCACATGAAGGAGGCTGGAGGGGTGAGGGGTGTACATTTGTCGAGCCCTCATACCTCCATGAGCTTTCCCTCCTCGCAGCTGCTGGTGAACTGTGATCTCTTCCCCAAAGAATTCTCCATTGTTGTGACACTGAAAGTCACTCGCAGTGCAGCCAAGGTGAGCATCCCGGAAAAACCTGGTAAATGTCAGCGGTGAAAGAAGTATTAAGATTCTTTTCTTAAGTGAAAGTACCAATACCACCTTAAGAAAATGGTACTTCAAGTAAAAGTACAGAAATAATATAAACTAAATGTACTTAAAGTATCTAAAGTAAAACATCTCATCATGCAGCAGAGGTGGTGGTTGTGTATATTTTGGGGTAGTTTTATGTACTGTAAGATAATGCACTGCAGTTCATAAATTCATTCAAGGTTGGTTTTTAAACAATTAATCTGAAAAGTAACAATTTAGTTCAAATGCAGTGAAGTAAAAATTAAAAATGTTCCTCTTAAATATAGTTCAGAAGAATTCAAAAGTAACATAAAATGTAAATATGCAAGTAAAACACAAGTAGGATTGCAGCTAATAATTATTTTCATTATTGATTAATTCATGGATTATTTAGTTTCTTTCAGTACCTAAGAATGTGGCTAAGTTCCTGTAACTGTACTTAGTTCCCCACCCTGCCAAACACAGTGTCTGAGTGTTTTTCCTCATTTGCCTTGCAGAGAAATGAATACATATTTTCCTTGATGGATTCAAAAAAAGGAGAGAAAAGGGGGCTGGGGGAGAAGGAAGCTGTGAACGATGAAGGGAACATTCTAGAAATGAATAAAGAGGGGGAGCAACATGGAGAGAGGAAGAAGGAGAGGCAGGTGAAGAGTAATAAAGAACGTGGACGGATCATCCTGGGACTGAGGCTCTCGAGAAAACGTCTGCACTTCCTTTTTAGAGGTCACGGAGGGGTCATGGAGCACTGGGGGTTTCGTGGCGCCCGACTGGCTGATAACCAGTGGCACACTCTGGTTTTGGCCATTGGTAGCCATCATGTCAGGCTCACAGTGGACTGTAGCCCACCACTGGAAACGTAAGCTTTTTTGTGTTTTTCTTCTGTTCACTGGGTGGAGACACTGTCTTTCTCCCACCACGTTCTCTTCCTGTTCTCTGTGAATTCCCTTGAGGGATAGTAGATCCGTCACCACAATACAATGGCACTGCTCCAAATCTGCTCACACCCTGCAGCCATATCATAGTGGCCTGACAGTATGTGATAGATGGTTTTTAGTGGAAACTCCCTCTGGCGCACAGAAGGGAGGAATATCAGCCGCCATACAGTGCCTATATAACACAATTCCTGTCTCAGTCTTAAAAACAGAGGCAGAAACAGTGACTACTTTAATTACAGAGACTTTTAGTTCATTTATAGAAGAAAAACAACTTATGCAGCTATTACAAATAATTTTGTAATTATGTATTTTTATGGCAAACAGTGTTCCCTCCAGGCCTTTTCCCTCAGACCTCAACTTTCAGGGATCGAGATTCCACATCGGAAGTCGGGGGAGATGGAAAGGCCTGTATTCAGTAAGGCTTATATTTCTTTATCCCTAACTTTAATAAGAAATAAACTGCTAAACCACTGCTTTCTCTAAAACAGTCAAATCTTTTCCGTCTTATCTGCTGCCCCACGTACAGGGTCTCCTGCGACAGCTGGTTTTGGTGCCAGGTTCGGATGCCACCCATTACATCTGCCCCTCTTCCAACCCCCAGCTGGCAGTCCTGTCCGTACCACCACTTCTCTCAGACCTGCCTGTCCTGGGGAGGGAGGGTGACGGCCACATGACCTCTTATGGTAAATTATGATATGTGACATATTTCCTATGTGTGTTCCTTCGCTTCTTTCCCTCTCTGATTGGCTGCTTGTTTTTGTGCTTTGATCACAAACTATCAGAAACAGAGGAGAGAGTGGCAGTGGGGTTGGAGCGGCCGTGCTCAGAGCGACTACAAGGCCAGCTGTGGTTCAATCCGCGTAAGAAAGGCCTCTACCTCTGCGACGGCACAGTGTGGATCGTTGTGCTTGAGGGTGAGAATCCATCAGCCATCCACTTATGAGTTTTACTCATTTTAGGTCAAAAGATTTTAACTAAATTCTCACCTCTCCATTTACTCAGATCATAAACGACTGGACTATGTAGTGGAACAACAGGTCCTCACCACCAGCTCAGAGACACATGATGTAGAGGTAAATGAATGTTTACATATATTTGTGGCATCTCTAACTATTGGATCCTCATACTTATAGTAAAGGATACCAAAGGAAGAAATATTTTTCTTTAGGGGAGTTTGAAGGTTGGGTTTCCAACAAGGGGTCAGAAGATAATACAAATGAAAAGAAAAATCTAAATTGACCTATGCAAAAATATGTTTGTTATCCAGACTTTTCTATATTTTTTAACTCTTTTACCAGTAGTTTTACCTCATTAGGCCTCTAGCTTGAATCCCGTAACAAGGGTTAGGCTAAGGGTTATGAACAGGGGCGGAGCCAGACTCAGCCCAAAACATTCAGTAGAGCCTACACCCTATTTTGTATCTATTTCTTATCCATCTCTCTTCCTCCCTCGGAAACCACAAAACAACAAATAAGGATGACTAATTTTCACTTGAAGCAAAAACAGTCTGATGTTATTAGTTTTAAGTTGGATAACATAGGTAGGGTAGGAATTTGGTGTTTGGCGTAAATCTTAAAGGTCCAGTGTGTAGGTGTGTAAAGAGACACTATGGTGGCTGCGAAACATTATTTTAAAAGCCTAAGTAGGTAGAAAGGTGTCTATTCCTGAAATATTATTTGGCCAATCCTGTAGTCTTTTTCATCCAATCTTCAGGTGTTCCAGGTACCTGGCATTGGTCTGATGGCTGCTATGGCTCATCGATCAGCAGCTTCTGGCTCTGCAGTGTATCTGTGGAGTCAAACAGGTTTCCAGCTCTACCAGAATATCAGCACATATGAAGCTTTGGCTTGGAGACACTTCAGCATGGGAAAGAAGGTGTGACACAAAGCAAGAGAAGGGTTATGAATCGAGCACATGCATATATCAACCTGGTCAATATAGTTTTGAGAGCTGATATTCTCTATGTTTTGTTTTTTCGATCTAGATATTTCTGGTGGTGTCTAACACTGGGAGAGGGCCAGACAAGCGTTTTAACAAAGAATCAGAGGTGGACTTCTCTGTGATTTACAAGTGGAGCAAAAAAAGAAATCGGTTTGTGCAGTTCCAGACTCTGCAGACCCACTGTGCACGGGACTGGGAGGCCTTTACCATTGACCGACAAACCTATCTCGCTGTTGCCAATCATAGACAAGGTAAAAATATATCTCCATTAAATGGCCACCTGTTAACTTCCTAATCTCCTGACATGACAGGCTCAAAATATAAAACTACTCGGTTGCATTCTTTCTCTTTCTGGCTTATCTTCCAGGTAATAATAATCACACTATAAACAGTGTGATATACAAATGGAACAATCTAGCAAAGTCTTTTGAGGTTCACCAAATGCTGCTGACCTCAGGGGCCTACGACTGGGAGTTCTTCACAGTTGGACCGTACCATTTCCTAGTGGTCGCAAATGCCTTTGATGGAGTGACCACTTCTGTAGACTCAGTCATCTACGTTTGGGTTGATGGAAGCTTCCAGGTGTTCCAGACAATTAAGGTATGTGGTGAACACCAAAAGAAATGTGTAAATGGCCTTGAAAAATTGCCTAACCCTCACTTTCTTAATTAAAAACAAAAATCAAAACAGGGTACATTTTGAAGGTGTTTTGAGTGTGTGTGGAAATGAGGCTTAATAGCACTTTAATGTAGCATTTTGGTGCATGATTTCCATGCCATTCATCTTCTTAGCAGCTGGGTTTTGATTTCCTCTGATGAGATCTGTATCTGTGAGATGAGTATGAAAAACCATCTTGTCTGTACACACAGAAGGAAGGGAATACAAACGAGGAGAGATAAAAGGGTAATGAAAGAGAGATGGGCAAGGAACATTTAAGACAGAGCCATAAATAGAGCGTGTGGTTTGCCATGATTTGCTTGAGTGATAGCACTGCTTTGACATGTAACTGATAGTGAATCACATATTTGAATTTGCCACATTTGAGGAGAGCGTGTTGACACATTGATAGTCCCATGAGAAACTAT